CCCTTTTGACCCCTGTAAGTCCTAAAGGGTTTGAAGCTGGAGCGTCTGAAAGACCGCCACGTTCCATGTGAATCTGCCCATTGGCTGAGATCCTCAGATCTGAGGATCTCCTCCTTGTAAGATTCAACAAAAGACTGCATGCCCACTGGCAGCACAGCAGGGTGGAAGCAGTTCTCTGATCTCCTGCCAGGCACTGCTGTTTACCAGGAGAGGCAGTGGCAAGGGTGGTGCGGTGCAAACATACCAACGGAGCCAACCCAGTGGTCCTGCCAGCACATTTGCACTGCACTCCCCTGCCCACCACCTTACCCTTCCTTGTAAGTGGCAGTGACTCACCTGTTTGGACATCTCAAAAGTGTCTCCAACCCACCATGCTGTTTCCTATTGACTGATTGGCAGAAGCTCTCCAGGGATTCCGGCAGGAGTCTGCCCCAGCCTTCCCTGGAGATTTCAAGGATTGAACCTGGGACATTTTGTATGCAAACCATAACTCCTCTACTTACGTCATTCCCACATTACTATTTCTTACGTACTGTCCATCTTGTTCTTTTAATGCACATTTTATTTTACTGTATCTGTCTGTAGATAGATAAGCAGGCAATGTCACTTAATCAGGCCTCCTGATCAGTAAGTGCTGCCTTGATGGAAATATATATATGAGAACAATTTTTTATTCTCTTAAAGGGTCTAAAAAGCTTGATGCACCCAGTTGGCACATAGAATATAGCAGCCCATTTGACGTCAGCGAAGCAGAGGCTGTTTGGAAAACTGGGAGGATAATCTGGTCCCCAGAGTGTGCTCGGCTGCAGTTTTAAGCAAAATAAAGATAAAATTCAAGGTTTGTTTGAATTCTACCACAAATTAGAAAGAGCACGATAGCAGTCGGTAGCTGCTTCCAGAAGGGAGCAAGAAACCCTTGCTCTTCTGCTGTAACGTACAAGTGGAATTGCAACTCGCCTTTTTCACTATTCGAGATGTGGGACTTTTCTCTGTGGGTATCTCTATAACATGCATTGTACATTTAAAGCAGTACCATATCACTTTAAACAGTCACGGCTCCTCCCAAAGAATCCTGGGCCCTGTAGTTTGTTTATTATCCCCTTTACAGAGCTACAGTTTCCTTGCAAAGAGGGGTTAATTGTTAAACCACTCTAGGAATTATAGGGGGAACAGAGGTCTCCAAACAAATAAACTATAGTTCCCAGGATTCTTTGAGGTAAGCCACGAATGACTGTTTAAAGCGGCCTAACACTGCTTTTTTAAAAAACCAGAGCCAGGGCTTTCTCGGCTGTGGCTCCGATCTGGTGGAACGCTCTGTCACAAGAGACCAGGGCCCTGTGGGTCTTGACATCTTTCTGCAGGGCCTGCAAGACGGAGCTGTTCCACCAGGCTTTTGGTCAGGGCACAGCCTGACTCCCTCCTTTGGCAATCTTCACAGAACTCTAGCCCAATGGTTGCCATCAATTTGATTTGAATTAATTTTACAATGAAATGTGTTTAGAATGTTGGATTATTTGATTGTTGTTAGCCACCCTGAGCCCGGCTTCAGCTGGGGAGGGCGGGATATAAATAAAAATTTATTATGATTATGATTATGATTATGATTATTATTTCTATAATGCTTTTCTATATTATTATACACAAGCTGAAGAAACAACAAAGATCACACACCTTATAACAGATCTGATACAATTCAAAAATGTAATAATAAAAACATAACTTTAAAATAAACAACCTGTATCAAATAAAGTAATATTCAGTAACTCATTACAATATAATAGCACACAGTAAAATTGAATATCAGCAAATAATAATTAAACAGAAATTCACTCTTAACAATGACAATAAATAATTTCTAAACTATAAAAATAACAGCAAGTCACAGTGCATAAAATAACAATACAAATCGAGAAGCAAAGACGCAGGACAAAAATTATCCCTGAACTCCTGCTTTAAAGGTACAGATGGAGCCTCTGTTCCATCCACACCAATGGGTTTGACGTACCTGCTGCAGCTGGAGAAGATGGAGACACAGTTTACTTGAGGGCATGTTGAATGAAAAGTTCCAAGAGGAACACACACACACACACACACACACACACACATTATTTATTTAGTGCCAAAGAGCTTATGCGTTTAAGCATGATGACCTGATTACTATCCATGAAGCTTGTCTCCTTTGTATTAAAGGAAATATAGACTTCACCGCTGTAAATTGCTAGTGAGGGTCAGAAGCTCTTCCCTCAGCAAGGACCCTTGGGGTAACAGTGCCCTTTCTGGGGTGAGGCAGCGGACCAGACATTTTCGGGAACTCGCCTTCCCTTGCAATACAGATCAATGCAGACGGTGGGGCATTTTTAAAAGAAACATTACATTACATAAGCTTTACACCACTTTCTCACTTAAGTGCTATTGCAAAAATGTTTTTTTTAAGATGTAGTTGGAGAAGCATTGGCTAATAATAATAGTAATAATAATAGGGAAACTTGGAGGGTCTGCTGAAGTGGCAAGTAAGGTGACACATTTGGTACACCAGAATTTCCCAATTGCACTGCAATTCACATTCAGAGGTTAAGTGTGCCTTTGAGGCTGCTATGCCAGTCTTCAAGTATTACACAACATGCAATAGTATGGAGAAAAAAGCAGACCTTTTAACACTGCTGTCTGTACACTCTGCCCTACACTCTAAGGATAATGGAGCCAGACAGTGCCAATGTATTATGAAAAGGCCGGGAAAGAGATTGTATCTCTTATGCCATCTGCCGGCCATTAAAATAGCTACAATGGGTTGTGGAGCTTTCCATTTCAATGCACAGCTTCAGATACATTTGAATGACACGATCTAAATAGTTTTAGTGGAAGCAACAGGTCTCTATCTACCCTCTGAATTCTCCTCATCAAGAGGAGCTCTGAAATTGCCTTGAATGTCTCTGTATTTACTTAGTTATCTAAAACATTTTCATCTTGGCTCATCATATGGCTTTACAATCTAAAAGCCACATGGTCAAAAACATTGCAATGTGATAATGGAATCAAAACTTGACAGTAGTGAATTTCTGTTTTAAATTACATTTTGGTGGCAGCTTTCCCAATTGCCTCTGTTTGAATGGTCAGGGACTCTTCCATGGGTTATCAGCAGGCAAATCCTTCCCAAGAGTAAGAGATGCAGTGATCAGTATAGCCACAGCTATTGATTTCCAGCTGTTGATTGCTGAGTTGCAGCAAGTCAACAGGTAAATATTTTCTGCAGCACAGAAACAGAGTGATAGGAAAAGTTGTAGAGGTTGGATTTGTGTCTTTTGTGGAGCTGTTAGAAGCACCTGTCCACTAAGATTCCTTTTTAAAAAAACCAAAACCCACAAGTTTGCAATGGGAAATGTTCCTGTTCTTGATTCCAGGCAGCTGGCTATGACCACCTGCAGGATATTCCATTCCCCTCCTCCCGTTTTCCCATTCTGTTCCCGCCAAGATGTTTGGTCCTCATCAGTGGCTTGTGGTCAATGGACTAGGGGGACTAGGCGAGTTCCTTAAATGTTCCGGGTAAATTAGAGTATTCTAGTATTAAAAGCTTGCAACTCCTTTCCAAAGCCTGGGAAGCTTCTGTTTGGCTGAGGGAGGGAGGTGCAATGCTCAAATGCGTGACATCAGCCAGCCACACCCCTCCAATAGCTCTTGCAAGCTGGCACCTCTGGTCCTATCTGTTCCCCTACGAAAAATTTCACCGCATGCCACCCGTCCTCATCAAGGTTTTCCATCCCCTTTTAAAAAACCCTTTCCTATTTTTTTGTACTTCTACTAACTTTGGGGTTCCCCTAAGACTGCTGATTCCTTCCTCTTTCACATGAATGGTACCAAAAGAGGTTTGATGGAGATAGCAAGCTGTTGGCTTGCTGTTGTTTACCAGAAGGTTGCAAATCTGGCACGCCTGGTGGTGCTTTGCGCCGCACTGACCTTGCAGCCACCTGGGCCGCCCCTCCTGGTAAGCAACAGGGACCTACCTGAGAGGAAGCTAGTGTTGTGGCTCTGTCTCTTCTCTGGCAAGCCGCTTTTGCGTGGTACCATTTTGGCTATAAGGGACACGGGTGGCGCTGTGGGTTAAACCACAGATCCTAGGACTTGCCGATCAGAAGGTTGGCGGTTTGAATCCTCGCGATGGGGTGAGCTCCCGTTCCTCTGTCCCAGCTTCTGCTAACCTAGCAGTTCAAAAGCACGTCAAAGTGCAAGTAGATAAATAGGTACCGCTCCGGCGGGAAGCTAAACAGCATTTCCGTGCGCTGCTCTGGTTTGCCAGAAGCGGCTTAGTCATGCTGGCCACATGACCCGGAAGCTGGACGCCGGCTCCCTCGGCCAATAAAGCGAGATGAGCGCCGCAACCCCAGAGTCGGCCACAACTGGACCTAATGGTCAGAGGTCACTTTACCTTTATTTTGGCTATAAGAGCAAACTCATACTCCAAGAATGAGTTTGCTATTAGTGCATAGGATGCTTTTCAAGAAAACAACACCAGTGAACAACTTTGATTTTGTAAATCAGAGACACGATCAAATGCATCGTCTTTTCCTCCTTGAGTGCCTCCTGCTGTAATAATAATAATAATAATAATAATAATAATAATAATAATAATATTTATACCCCACCCTCCCCGGCCAGAGCCTGGCTCAGGGCAGCTAACACCAGTAAAATTACAGTAAAAACATAGTAGGGGAGGGAAACCAATTTAAAATACAGGTTAAATGCAATTAAAAATGCAGCCTCATTTTAAAAGAAGCCCATAGATCAAAACCATCAGGGGAGGGAAACATAAGGGTCAGACTGAGTCCAAACCAAAGGCCATTTCTGCTTGTCATCAGTGGATTTCAGATTGTGCCCCGAGGATCTTTCCTGTGTGTGTGTGTGTGTGTGTGTGGTTTCTAGGGTGCCCTCTTAGAATCATAGAAGAGTAGAATTCGAAGAGACCATGAGGGTCATTTAGTCCAATGCCTTGCAATGCAGGGATCTTTTGCCCAATGTGGGGCTTGAACCTGAGACTGTGAGATTAAGAGTCTCATGCTCTACTGACTGAGCTATCCAGGGAAGTATTTTGCAAGCCTTCCTGCACTCCCCTTTAACCTGCAGCATCAGAGGTTGAAGCAGGGAGCACGTTTTGCAATCCTCCCCGTGCTTATTCCGTCTTCCCACAATATTGGAGGTGCAAAGGAGAAGTGCACATCCTTTGCCAACATCCTACTTTGAACCCTAGGATGCCTTACAAAGTGCAGGAAATCCAGGGCAAATGTCCACAGAGGTGTTCTGCAGTAGATCATGTATCAACAAGGAAATATCCCCCAAATACAAGAGGTTTCAAAAATCCAGACTGGGGTGACTACAAAACTGTATCATATCAAGGAGACTGGTTTCGCTAGGCTTCTACCGTCCTGGAAAAGAAAAACATTCAGGGACGGCAAGACTACATATTTCAACCCCCCTAACTACTCAAGTCGTCTCCCAATGGAGGCCTTGTCAGGCTAGGATGTTTGTGATGACAAGGATCTGGCTTCTGCAGCCAAAGGTTGTTGAACAATGTACAGCTGCTTCTGAAATGCCTTTTTGCCGCTGCCTAGTACACAATTCTGCTTATTTAGGAAAAGCTTGCTCCAAGGTTCTCAGTTTGTGCATGTGTTATGGTTTCGCTGGGGTCAAGTAGGAGTACTTATTTGCCCAGCACATTCTGTTGCACAACATTAGAGAGCTAAGAAGGCAAAAGGTTTTTTGGAGGGTGAGGGAAGGAAACCACGTTACTAGGGAGCAGTGCCATAGCTACAGGGGTGCTAGCTGGGTTTTCTGACCTGGGTGAAGCCTTCCGAGGCGCACCGTTGAGGCTCCCAGCCTGTGTGTGTGTGTGTGTGTGTGTGTACGCAAATGTGAGTGGCAGGGTGTCAAACTGGGTCTTTGACCTGGGTGACATAAAGCCTAGTTTCGCCCCTGCTGGGGAGGAAAAGAAAACCCACGACACACTTAGAACTGTGTGTCCTGTGCTATGTGTGAGGGTTTAAGGCTGCAATGTTATACATCTTTACCTGGGGAAAAGTCCCACTGAACTCTGTGAGGCTTACTTCTGGGTAGACAGGATTGCGTCCTAAATGGATGTTAAATGTAAAATTCAGCATCCTGGCTTTGTTTCTGCTGCGATTTTCTGCAAAGGTAAGGCTGGAAGTGTGGGAAATGGGCAGAATCACCTGATATGAAAGAAGAGAGATTCGGCAGAGAATGGAGCATGCATGTCGTGCTTCACACCCGATGCTCTCCTTGACTGGCAGTTCCGGAATCAATCATGCAAATAGTCAAACATATCATTTGCATAATAGATACAAAATATTACATTTGTGAGAATGGAGTTTACCATGATACACAAGCCCATTTTTATTTTGGATAACTTAATGCAGCATTTATTTTAAAGGGATAGGCAAAATCTCTAGCACTCGCTTAACTCTCCCACTGCAATAAATAGAGCATGGATGAGGAATCTGCGGCTGTTGGACCAGCTCCCATCAGCCCCAGCTAGCATGGTTGGTGGTCAGGGATGATGGGAACTGTAGTTCATCAACTTCTTAGAGGACCACAGGTTCTCCACCCTTGCAACAGTGCTTCAAAGAGTTATTGTCGGTCAGAATGATCCACTAAAGTATCACAAGACAGTGATCAGAGTGCCAAGTTTGGCAGAACTCTTCATCAGATGATTTTGAAACAGTGTTACGTATATTCTTGTCAAGATATTTTTATACTGCTGTGTGCCACTTTGTGTGAACTTTGTCCCAAAGGTGCTTTATAAGTGTGTATAGTTTTATAAACATTTCAATACATAAATAAATAAAATGCTAACATTCTATGCATGTCTCCTTAGACATATATAAAGGTCAATGGGACTGCAATCCTATACTGACTTACTTTGGAGTAAGCCCCACTGAGTGCAATGAGACACTTTTGAGTTAGTTGTGCGTAGGACTGTCCTCTAAGAAGCTACATCCACATTGCTCTGCCACTTCCCCCTGAGGAAACCTGTCATTTAGTGCTGAATCGGAACAAACTACAATTGGATTTTCCGCAGGTTGTCATTTGTTCCAATTTAGCACTAAAGAGTGAGTTTTCCAAGGGAAAGCAGTGGGACAAAAGCAAAACAGCTCAGAGCCATGCCTAGAAAGCATGAGGCAAGCAGCAAACTGCTCGGACACATGGAAGTGTGGGTAATAATAATAATAATAATAATTTGTTATTTCTACTAAGAGACATCACCTTACTGACAAAGGTCCGTATGGTTAAAGCTATGGTTTTCCCAGTAGTGATGTATGGAAGTGAGAGCTGGACCATAAAGAAGGCTGATCGCCAAAGAATTGATGCTTTTGAATTATGGTGCTGGAGGAGACTCTTGAGAGTCCCATGGACTGCAAGGAGATCAAACCTATCCATTCTGAAGGAAATCAGCCCTGAGTGCTCACTGGAAGGACAGATCGTGAAGCTGAGGCTCCAATACTTTGGCCACCTCATGAGAAGAGAAGACTCCCTGGAAAAGACCCTGATGTTGGGAAAGATGGAGGGCACAAGGAGAAGGGGATGACAGAGGACAAGATGGTTGGACAGTGTTCTCAAAGCTACCAGCATGAGTTTGACCAAACTGCGTGAGGCAGTGGAAGACAGGAGTGCCTGGTGTGTCCATGGGGTCACGAAGAGCTGGACACGACTAAATGACTAAACAACCAAAAAAAGTGTTATGCAGATCCCATGTTGCACTGGAGGCTGATAGGACAAAGAAAGGAATCATGACTGATCCCCGATTTTTGAAAATATGAAATCCAGCAGTTTTTATAAGGCTGCTGAGGCAAACTAGCACTCACCCATGGGCTGCTTTTGACCCATGATCTTCCAGCTGTTTCCTACTGCTTATAGATTATACTGAGAAATAGGTTTATATAACCCATCCTTAAAGCTTTATATATTTTCCCATTTTACTGATCAAAACATTTGCCTGAAACTGCATGTGGTCTTGCTAATGCAGTCTACCGCAAACCTGGCTCATCTTTTGTCTGTTTGGTAAGCCTTTGCCTGAGAGTGTAGGAGCATAGTCAGGTCGCTATTAACTCATGCATGCCATCAACTTGTCAACATGACGTTGCTTAATCTTGAGGCTAATTGTTTCCTTCCCTGCCCTTCTCTCTAATGCTCCTCAGACATAGATGGCAAGGGGAAATATGCGAAATTTAGAATGGTCCGTGAGTCATTTACCAGTCACGGGGGAAATGTTGCTAAAGTATTGCAATCTCACATGTTATATCCGGATAGATAAGGAAGTCAGTGGTATATTAGGCTTTAGCTTGTGGAAGTCGCTGGCCACAGGGTTACACAACCCTGCCTTTGCCAAAACAATACCAGTCATTCTTAACATGACAGGAGCAATTTGAGTACATTCACGAGGTTAGTATTCAGGAAACTGTCAACCTCTTTGAGAACTTTAAAGTGGTCTATAAATAAATCTTTCAAGTGGGTAGCTTAGTTGGTCAGAGCCTGGTGCTCAAAACACCAATATTGCAGGTGGTTCTTCTTCTTCTTCTTCTTCTTCTTCTTCTTCTTCTTCTTCTTCTTCTTCTTCTTCTTCTGCGATCACTCGCAGCCGAGTAAGATTGTCTTCCATAAACATGGTTTTAACAATGAGTCCGTAAATGACTGCAGAGGCCAATTCTGGATCCACATGTCCTTCCACAGTGGGGACATTGGTTTCTGGGCGGGAGTTGATCACTGTGTGGATTTGCCAAGCGTGCCTTCCTCTTAGCACGTTTCTCCCTTGTGTCCTGAGTTTTAGTGTCTTCAAAGCCCATGACACCTTTGGTAAAGGCTGGAGCGCTCACAGGCAAAGTGTTTCCCAGTTGTCCATGTTTATAATACATTTTTAAAGATTTGCCTTGAGACAGTCTTTAAACCTCTTTTGTTGACCACCAGCATTAAGCTTTCCATTTTTAAGTTCGGAATAGAGTAGTTGCTTTGGAAGATGATCATCAGGCATCCGCACAACATGACCAGTCCAATGAAGTTGATGTTGAAAAATCATTGCTTCGACACTGACTAGGTTGTATTGATGCTTTTGCAAGACTCTTGCTGGTTATGCACACTGTCACCAGGGTTTCCTACCTGCCCTTATGTAATAATAATAATAATAATAATAATAATAATAATAATAATAATAAATTTTATTTATATCCCGCCCTCCCCAGCCGAAGACGGGCTCAGGGCGGCTAACAACAATAAAACAGTACAACAGTACAACACAACACTCTAAAATCATTCATAATAATAATAATAATAAATTTTATTTATATCCCACCCTCCCCAGCTGAAGCCGGGCTCAGGGCGGCTAACAACAATCAAATAATCCAACATTCTAAACACATTTCATTATAAAAATTAATTAATGGCAACCATTGGGCCAGAGCTCCGCGAAGATTGCGGAAGGAGGGAGTCAGGCTGTGCCCTGGCCAAAGGCCTGGTGGAACAACTCTGTTTTGCAGGCCCTGCGGAAAGATGTCAAGTCCCGCAGGGCCCTAGTCTCTTGTGACAGAGTGTTCCACCAGATCGGAGCCACAGCCGAAAAAGCCCTGGCTCTAGTTGAGGCCTGCCTAACCTCTCTGTGGCCTGAGACCTTCAAGATGTTTTTATTTGAAGACCATAAGTTTCTCTGTGGGACATACCAGGAGAGGCGGTCCCGTAGGTACGAGGGTCCTAGGCCGTATAGGGCTTTAAAGGTTAAAACCAGCACCTTAAACCTGATCCTGTACTCCACCGGGAGCCAGTGCAGCTGGTATAGCACCGGGTGAATGTGATCTCGCAGCGAAGACCCCATAAGGAGTCTCGCTGCAGCATTCTGCACCCGCTGGAGTTTCTGGGTCAGTCTCAAGGGCAGCCCCACGTAGAGCGAGTTACAATAATCCAGTCTGGAGGTGACCGTCGTGTGGATCGGCTCGCCACCTAAGCAGGGTGGGGGTGGAAAGTCAATCCTGGCTTTCAGAGCGTAGTGATCAGACCATGGCACCTTCATCGAAGGAGACATG